TCAATACGAGCGCCAGTTGCGGCTTACCATCGGGGGGACCGACGTCCTTATGTACCCCTGCGAATTCGCTGGTGCTCTGGAGGAGAAATTGCTGTGCTGGCTTTAGCAGATACTGGGGCAGAAGTTTCCGCATTACATCGCGTGGTAGCTCTGGGGAAGGCCACTACCCACACGTGTGGGTTGGGAGGATCGGCCACCCCAGCAGTACGGGTTGTAGTTACCTTAGCAATCGGAAAAAAAACCATTTTCTGCCCCTGTTTTATTAGCACTGATTCATGAGTACTTCTTGGGGATTGACATGTTACTGGGCAGAGATATTCAGACCCTGCAAGGATTGTTCTCCTTTGGAAAAAGTCCTGCATTACCGCAGTTGCAGTGATTCTGTGATTCTGTAATAAACGCTCAGTATCGACCCTAGTGTGCCTTGTGTTTGTGTATCTGTCCCTGCTGGGAGACCAGGCTGTGCCCCCGCCTTACCCTTACAACATATGTATAAAGAAGTATACAAATATGTATAAATGTATAGATAAAATATATATAGATACCCTTTTTGTATATGTATCTTTATATATGTGTGTATATATATATACACATCACATTTATATACACATATATAAAGATATATAAATATATATTTACATATATATCTCTCTCTCTCTCCGTAAAAGTATAGGTATAAAATGGATAAAACATTCTTTAATAGGAGCTACTGAAATGCATAATTAAAGTTTAAAATGAATGGAGAAAGTAATTAAACAAAAGTGAAAGGCAAGTTCAGGAACCCCCACCATAGAAATCTGCTGAACAAGCCCTAACATGTATGGGTTGGGGAGGAATTTCAAGAGGGCAGGGTTGCCAAAAGGGAGGATGGGGGGGCACAAACAAGTTGGAACGTGCCTGAGGGCTGCGGGCCCATCCTAGGAGGCCACCAAGGGGCCCCCTGCACAAGTCCTGTCATGTGCAAAGGAGAGATCAATCCTGTGAGCTGGACCAAGAGGCCCCCGCATCTGGTCCCAGCCCAACAGGATGACCATGCAGTATTCCTGGGGCAGACTTTGGGCTGTGCATGGTGCTGCAAGACACAGGCAACACTGCCTGCAAAAATGGAAAACCAGACCAAAATGCCAACTTCAGAAGAATGTGTGTGGGGGGACAATAAGAAAAAGCCCCTGAGGGGTTCCTGAAAAAGACCACGTGAACCAGAAGACCCAACCAATGGGCACATGAATCGCTAAGTGTGTTTCAAGGTAAGTTTCACACAGTGAGGGTGAGTGGTGGGGGGAGCTCCTTTTGCCCATGGTTGTGGGGGAGCTTACAGCTACCTTTAAGACCATTATGGGGTGCAGGCTGGTGCTATATGTGTTTCCTTATTCTTAGATCGATGACCCTATAGAATGTTTCAAAAAGCTCTGGCTGACTTACTGAGGAGGGAGAAGTCAGAAGTGTCCCTTTTTGTTCCTGTCCAGGCCTGCAGCAGACAAACAAAGCAGAACGGACATAGAAGGGACAGTG